GCTGTGTCGTTTAGTTTGTTGCACATGGAATTCAAGGGAACACCAAGCAGTTTCATATTCAGTCGAGACCGAGTAAGTTCAGATCAGGACGGCTTGTTACGTAGCAAACAACTTCGAAGTGACAATCTTTGAACATTACAGGGGCATAACTTTAAATGGTCAAGTTCACCGGTCCTCCTAAAGCATTAGCTGCAATCCGAGTTTTTATTTGAACAGACAGTTCACCGATTTTCCGCCAAACTTCCTCTGATATGACTGATATCTGAGGCAGCGTAGATTTGATGGCGAACGGACACCTGGTTCCCAACCACCGTAACAAACTTTCAGCGTTTTGCGGCCCCTGCATCAAAGACAGAAAAAAACGGAATAAAGCTGAGATGCTTGTTTTGTTGGAGATGTGGATACAAACGTTTTGGGAAATTGGGTGGAGACGTTATTGATGAAAACAGTTGAACAGCAATGATCGTCTTTGTGATCCGGTTTGTTGCATTTCTAACAAAAATGCTTCTTGAGCGAGCAGGATTTGACGAAGTGCCAGTCCCGACGTTGCCAGCATGCGGATGGTAGTCTGTCTAACCTTACCTAGTTATGAACCGTCGCTGAACTACTGCGCTGGTTGGACATCGCCAGCACATCCAAGGGACATGGACTGCGGCCTTGGGCAGGCGAGTTCGTGTTGTGTTTCAAGTTAACTAAACTCTGTCATTCGGAGGTGACAGACATGAGGTGAATGGACGGGTCTTGCTCAATTGTATTAAAGAGCCTCATGCTTATTTCAGCATAATCGAGTGCTTAGAGACCACATCGAAAATTAAGGCCTTAAACGGATCGACTGTCATCATTTTTGTCGTAAAACGATCGAAAGGACGATTGACGGTACGTGCGTAAGTTACGAAACCGTCTGACGCGCACTTAGCGAGTTTAATGCAACTGTATCGGACGCTGAATAAGGGAGATCATTCACCCAAAATGTGACATAACAGAGGTACGATTTGGCCGGTTGAAATCTCTAGAGAGTTTTGACAAAATAAGATTGAGAAACTTGTTTTTCCTTGGTTACCAGCTTCCGCAAAAGCAGTCTGCACTTCCATCCGTCGCCAGCATCGGCGAATTCGGACCGTGAAACGATTTCACATCTTCTGAACCAATATTCGAAAGTTAGGTCGGCATCCAGATCATAGTAAAGCTCATAAATGCTGTTAGCGACGGCGCCCACAGATGCTGCTGCTTTTCAGTGCTCGGTCCTGCTTGTACCGCAAGACATTGGAAGGTATGCTCGATTAATTGTGTATGGCATTCTACAAATCGCTCTACTTGATGTCGAAATATTGCAGTTTCACCAGTGAAAAAAGCATTTTCGAGTTCTCCAGTTATTGTGGTCGCCAAAGTCATACTGAGCTGCTCTGATTGGCTGCTCGAGAGAAACCTGTCCGCTCTGATTAGCCGATCAAAACGGCAAGGTGGTAGGCATGGCTTAGTGGCCGTCGGACACGAGACAATTTCCCAGCGCAAGGTATCGACGGTCATTTGTCTTTGGCAAACTTCCCGAACCTTCTCTGTCCCCTTTTATGCTTTGCGTACCAATAATAGTACCAGATTATGCGAGAAGGTTTTTTGATGTTCCGAGTAGGAACGCGTGTCTTCGCAGTATACCCAGCTCACGCGCGACCGGTGGTGGTCGCGTGTCAGCGAAGCGTCGGTACAGCGAGAAGGCGTATTGTTGGTGACTTCTTTCTTTTGACCAACCAATGCGATTATTCTGCTCGATTTGTGAAAACTGGCTGGAGTTTGATCCGTTTGGGGTTCACTGATTTACTCGTGAATAGGTGCTCCTCCTAACAAGATGCCATTGACTGCGTGACTGCACCAATGGTGTGGACCACCCGAAGACCGCAACCAAGGAGACGGCAAGCACCAGTCTCAACAAGTCTCCCAGTCAAGTTCTACATTATTTTATGCCACATCATGGTTGCCACCTCGCGGTTTCGTCCAAGTTGGTGCAGCCAAGGTGTGTAATGCACGCTGAGAAAGCTGGTCTACGGGCATACGGGGAAATGGCTAAGCTAAGCCAACGTAAGCGAGTAAGATTCAGTAAACACTCGAGTAAGACACTAGAAGGCTTCTTGTCAAAAACCAACTGGCGGACCTCAGCATTGCTCAGCTGGTGTTCCCAATGGATGTGAGCGATACTCTGCAAGCACCGGTGGTCAAACACGCCAAAGCAGACAATGTCTTCAGTGCGAAGTGACCAGGTCTCTGCTCCATAAAGTAACACAGACCTTATCGAAGCCTTATATACACCATCTTTCACTGAAAGGTTAACATCCCGCCGTCGTTTCAGACAGTTGAGCATTGGGAGAGCCACAAAGGCCTCGCTGATACGCGAAGGAACTTCTTCAGTGATGTGACCACCAGAGGTGACACAGCTATCAAGATAGGTAAACCACTTCTAGTGGTTGTATCGGTCCGGTCCAGCAACAGTACTTTGAAGGTGCGGGGCACATGTCGAAGCGTGCAGCGCTACGCGTCAATCTAACCAGTAGGGTTTGCAGAGCCACTGCCTCAGACCCAAGAAGAGCAATGTCGTCCGTATACTCGAGATTTGTCAGTAGGTCAAATGACAGAACCTCCACTCTATTAGTTTCCGAAAGATCAAATTATTATCATTTCGATAGAAAAGTTGAAGAATAAAGGATACAGGACAATCCTATCGAAATTCACATGTCGTGGGGGACTAGGTAGACAAATTACCACAGATTCTCACAATGTATCAGAAGTCAAGGTAGAAAATGGAATGGAAAGGAGGTTTCTAGACACTCCCTACACGCAGTGGTCCCCAACATTTTTATCGCCGCGGACCGGTCAACGTTTGATAATTTTACCGCGACCCGCTGAGGGGGGCGTTGGTTGTTTATTTTAGATTGTTTTTGTTCAGGCTGTACTAATAAAATACAGTTGCAGCAAAAAAGAACATCAAGTGATTTAACATGTTAACTCACTAGAAGGCTAAATCGATGACAACACTGAGCTGGTTTCTATGCAATAATACCGTTCCATCTGGGGGTAATTTGAGACAATTACACCCGAAGTATGCTGCTTATGTCCAGTTTATTACGTTGTTTTGTTCTGGTTGCTGTTGCTGCAGAAAATCCCGCTTTACAAGGATAGGATATCGGAAATGGCAACAGGGATTTAAGTGCTGTGGTGGCAATCTGAGAGTTTTCCGCCATGAGTTTAATTCAGAACACCGGCAGAGTTGTTGTCTCGGACGTAGTTATAAGGCCAGCGTCCTTTGTACCCTCCAACAGTTGATCTTCTTCTTGTATAAACATGCTAGATTCGCCTGGTTTGTTGACAAATGAGTCGCGGACCCATTCGTTACCCATTCGTGGGTCAATTGTGGTTTGGAAGTAGCGCTCGAATGGCAGATGATGATCGCGTACCAACTGGGAGAGTGAATGCACAGGGTCAGGCTCATCTAAAACCCCCGCTAATGTCTAAAATGTTTCTGCTCACACGCCATCCCCACAACACCAGTTTGGGTTTAAATACAACTACTTTGTCTACCAACGTGAAAACAGTAGTCATTTCCCCCTGAGGGGATAGACTGAGTTCATTGAGCAACCTGAATATGTCACACAGGTAAGCCAGTTTTGTGACCTATACCTTGTCACTGAAGTAAGCTGCCAGCAGTGACTTCCAAGAGAAATCTTTGCAATGGATCTGGTAATTAATACTCTGGTTAGCGATTATCCTCCGGACAAACAACTTATTTCTGTGTACAAGAGTAGGCATCACATTGTTAACCGACAGGTACATGCTATCATTTTAATAGCAGCCTCTCCTAGGAATTCACGGCAAACGTCTTTAGTGGAGGGCAAGATCAATTCTTCACCGATAGTGAATGATTTGTTTGCCTTAGCAATACAGTTAGCCATCAAATATGATGCTCTCAGTGCATTCTTCTCCTTTATCGGTGTGGTGGCCCCCAGAAATTTATTCCGTCCTTCGTGTTCCGTTTTCGCTCTTACAGGATGCTTGGGGTTCGCGGCGAAGCAGATTTGAAGATTTCATTGCCTCATTAGAGAGCCGATAACCACAAACTATGCAGAGCGGGGTTGGTGTGTGGTTGTGATAAATCCATAATTCAAGTAGGACTCATTGCGCTGTCTGGTAAAAGTTTTACGTTTCTTTGGTGTTGTAGGCCCTTCTGTATCTTCACTGGACCTGTCCATTTTCCCAAGGAATCGACGTCTGTTTGTACTTATTTTTGCTAATTGGTGGGTTAAAGTTAAGCGCTCAAGTGACCGAGATGTAACCTGAAAACTAAAAGGTCCTTAAAACCAGATAGTAAATGTGGGCAGGAAGAGGGAAAAAAATAAAACGAAAGCACTGTTAAACAGGAGAAAGTACAAATAAACAGAGTGAAGAACGATACACACCTTCTCTCCGCCAAAGCTACAACGCCATTACCACTCAGATCCCGGTTAACCTCTCATCCATGGATAGTCGCAAAATCACGAGTTAATACACCGCAGTAAGTAAAATATAAATAATTTCATGTTTCTTGGTCGGCCCAGTTCCATACGATCTACGGATTGGTATCAGTCCGCGGCTCGGAGGTTGGAGACCACCGCCTTCACGAATAGACAATGCCACAAGCTGGCGCGATCAGTAGAGTCAAAGGCGGTTTTCAAGTCAAGAAAAATCCCTATGGTTAGTCATAAGTGACAAAGAGTAGAGTATGTGGTCAATGCAACCACGACCAAAGTGGAAACCAGCCTGGCTTACAATGATTCGGCTCTCACGAAGACCAGTAAGAATGATACCCGAGAGGAGCATGGGGACACTGGAAAAGATGTTAATGCCTCGATAATTTTCGCACTAAACACTATATGAGTCAGAGTGACACAATCGAGTCAATCAAGGTTGGAAACGTTCCGCGCAGTGAGCACCACCCACGAAACAAAGAACAACGAACTGCGAAATCGCACACTCACTCAGATGAACCGAACGGAGGTGTGTTCGCAGAGTATCTGCTCGCGAAAAAGACTTGCCACAAAGATCACATATGCGTGCTCGTTGATCTGCAACAGAACATAATTGATGGATGGATAGAGAGGCCACACACTTGGGGAACAAAGACCCTGCACTCATCTGGTATTATCAGAACTATCTATTGATGTACAACATCAACGATAAAAATACCTCACAGAAGCGGTGATCGTTGGGAAGCATAGGAAACAGAGAAGAAAGTATCCGTACGGTACAACAGGACATTAAAATGATGATTAGCGCGCGGACAAAGATCACCTAAGTAACGGCGATAAACGCGTACGGAATGGAGAAGATGCGTCGTGGGGTGTTGCGAAGATCGCTCCATTGCAAAAAAGTCCATATGCTGTTCTTAATCGCAAGCTTAGTATCATCATCAGCTAATATGCCGCAATACAGAAACATAAGACACTAAAAATTACAGACTACAAAAATTTAAAAAAAAAACAAGTAAGATAATGTTAAATATCCTACTATGCCTTAGGTATGGGACCGTAATTGGAGGAGAAATATGGGGGAGGGGATTGACAAAGAAACCCCAGTTAGGCAGTCGAGATGCACCAACCGACGCCAACTCCGAAGTGAGGGTTTTCCTTCTTCCTGACCAAGTCATCGCCTGGCCTTCCCTACTTCTCTTCCATTTAGACACCTGGCGCACAAAAAACGCACGTTGCGGGAGTCGGTGTACTGGAATGCGCGACACGTGACCCAGCCATCGGAGTCCCGCATGCATACTACTACCATGAGCTAGCAGGTGGCCGAACCAACGAAACGTATTCCGGTCTCATCTGCTGATCTAACGAAATACTTTGATCATCGCCGCACAATACGCGCCTGCACATCTAGTCGAGGCGGAAAAAGATATGCCACCCAACACCACCACTACTTTGGTTGCGGCGAAGTTCACTGGGCTTCAGGACGCTGAGATCATCAAACCGGATGTAATTGTGGAATGTGAGAACAGGACTCCAAGTCATGCAATCAATACTTTAAAACCGGGGGAGGAGGACAATGTCCCTCCGGCAACAGAGGTTGTGACATCAGTAAAGTGATCCAAATCTTGGCGAAACGTGATAGATGTTCTTCATTTAAACGCTTATCGTAACTAATGCAGTTGCTAAGATGGGCAAACTGATGAGGTGACAAAATGTATGTTATCAGAAAAGTGATACAATTATGTGGGGATGTATAGACAAATGTGGTACCACCGAAGAAACCACAGTAAAGTTGCGACTGTGTGCGCGCTCGACCATGGGTATCTCAGCAGTGCCCATCACTTTTGCTCAGTGAGAGTCAGTGAACTGATGAAGTGCCACAATGTGTTTACAAATATGTAAGTGCGTGTATAGAGTTGACTAGTACCTTGTTCCGAAACAGCAGACGCCTTTACTTTCCCAATAGCAGATCTGCAATGATCGTGCAACGAGACTCCAGGGGCGTCTTCCTCAATTCTGAACGGCTGCTCGGTAGCACAAGGAGCTTCGGAATCCACTGAATCCTTCTGAGTGTGCACAGTGACGCCAATCTCTTCGGCGCTTGGAGATTTTGACAATTGTGCTTCCGCAGGCTCCGGTTTCGGTCTCAGAATGCACAGACTCAAATGCTGTCTCAACTGTGCGCTCTGCCCAGCGTCATCCTGACAAATAAAAACCGATATTAGATGAATATTCTCAGAATTCAGAAGCAGCTTTATGTATGTCAGGAGTTAGGTGACCATCCGATTCATAAAATAATGTACCAATTAGTAAAGAACAGATTCCATAATAGATTACACACCAGAACCAATAGTAGGCGCTTCACTCGACCAAAGTGAACAAGAGACTAAGGTTGGAAAAGTGAACAGAACTATTCCCATCAAGTTAGCAATATGTAAACGATGTCGGTAAAACACAGGATTATATGGTTGTTGCCTCAAGAAAAATTGAAGCAAACTGTTACTTAATAACTGGAGCAAAAATGTAGGGTGCGCATAAGCGTTGTAACCTCGAGTAACCGCATTCGGCCAAATAACTCCGTAGAGACACCGAAAAAATGGATATAACATGGTGCAATATGTCTTTCATCGATCTTTTATAATTAAATGTATTTGGGAAGTTACGTACATCTTCCTGCAATAAATTTGTACCAACTGCGGTGCATCAGAATGCTGTCCTAAGCAAGGAAGCCATGCAATCACGAACTAACGGAGGTGACAAGGCTAATGAGAAGAAAGAAGAACAAAGGATGAACTAGATGTCAACATCGCATGATCACAAAGAGGTAGCCATCGAATGACAGCCCTTATGTGACCTAGAGTGTCCAGTATTGTAAGCCGAAGTAACGGATGCTTTTGAGCAGACAAAAGGGGCAACACAGAACAAAAGTTAGCATCGCCCTTCGGAGAGAAGTACGTGGTGATGCTCCAAAGAGGCCTGAAGCAATGTCGCACGAAGTTTACTAGGATGGTAGTATCAGACAAGAGTCAGCAGACAGACCAACCGAGCGAGCCAGACAGCCAACGGGTGGCGGGCGTGACAGCTTCGATTACTGGACTCGGAATGGCCGATATTCTTGTGAGTGATTCATGGTTGGTTTATTGAAGCAAAAGAAAGACCGTATCGACTCAGAAGGCTTGTTAGTTGTGGACTTGAACGAGCAATTAATATCGAGGAGTTTAACATGCTAAACATGCTGTAATTTCCGGGGACTTGACTTTGCTGAATAAACATTTGGCTCTGAAGGTCTGGGTTCTGCAACATGGTGTAAGGGAAGATAAATCCGAAGCCCACCATTACCATCATTATACACGTTAGCTATAGGTGGGAAACATCTCAGCTACTGTGCCGCAATACATAACAGGAAAATAAATACAACAGTTGCATGCCACCTGGGGTACCAGCAACGGATGAGCATCGTTCCCGTAAGCTACCAGCAGGCTACTAGGTAAAAAGAAAAATTACTATGTAAAATTATATTACGTTACGAAATGTGATCGTGTTTGGAGGGGCAGGCTGAAAGAGATGGGAAAGGACAAAGGAACTCATAGCAGGAACGCCACTGAGGTCCGCTCATTGACATGTCAGCAAGTGTTTGTCATCTTTTGGACCCCAACCAGGGAGCCGTAACGCTCCGACCGAGGCCAGCTTCATACCTCTGGACCAAGTCATCGATTGGTCACCCCTCCTCTTCTTCCACCCACACCCCCGGTATGCAAACAACGCACTTCGCGGAAGTCAGTGGGCTGGCATGCACAACACATGGCCGAGCCATGGTGGTGCGTGAAATAACGGTGCTGTGCGGTTCATTTCCTTTTCCTGTGCCGTAAACAAGGCGTCGAACACGCCCGTTACTCACAGTGTTCCCACCATTTGTGAGCCAAACTGCGAAGGCACCGATGGTCGAGGGTAACTAAATTTTTTATGTCCGCTGATCTAAGAGGCCAGGTTTCGCAACCGTAAAGTAAGATCGAACGTACCGCTTCAGTGTACACTCTAACCTTCAGGGCGAGAGTGATGCAGCACTTCGAGCTTTTGCTATACGGTTCGTGATCTCATTTTCAATCCTAAGGACGCTGATCCAAACTTCCCAGGTAGTTGAATTTCTGGACGACTTCTAGCTGATCCCCAACGACGGTCAGAGCAGGAAGCGATCCTTGCCAATCTTGGAGGAAAGCATTGCACTTCGATGGTGCAAAGCAAAGCCCGAAGTGGCTGACAGTCAGCGTTAATCTGTCCAGTGCACCTTGGCAAGTCTGGGAGCTGTCACAGATGCGGACAATGTCGTCTGCATACTCCAAGTCAAGAAGTCGTTCTCCTGGGAGTAGCTCCACACTTTCTAAGTCACGTCCTGTAAATGTAATCTCCATGACTTCGTCAATAGGGAAGTTGAAGAGGAAAGGTGACAGCGAGCATCCTTGTCGCACACCGCTGGAGATATTGAAGGGCAGCGACAGCTTGCTGTAAGCTCTCACTCTGCTCCTGCTACGCGCATATAATGCTCGGATAATATTTACATATTTCTCGGACACACCTTTCCTGAGTAAACGATTCCAAAGCGCACGTCGATCAACCGAACCGAAGGCATGGTTGATGTCGAGGAACATGACAGCGGTGGGCCGCCAATATGTGTGACGGTGCTCCAACAACTGACGCAAGGTGAAGATATGGTCGATGCAGATACGACCCCGACGAAACCCGGCTTGCTCCTCACGAAGTTAGCTTTCACGAGCGCCAGTCAGTTTGTGGAGGATTACGGAGGCAAGTAATTTGGAGGCGATGGAGATCAGACTGATTCCGCTATGGTTGACGCATTCCGAACGCGAGCCTCCTTTGAAGATGGGAACAATAAAGGAGCGGCTCCAGTCGCTTGGGACAATTTCGTGCTCTCAGTTTCACTAGTAATTCATGTAAATCATCAATAACAGCAAAGCCCCCGAACTTGAAGAGGGCTGGAGGAATATCATCTGGTCCCGCGGCTTCGTTCAACTTCAAAAGTACGATCTCACGTTTGACTTTTGGGTGAGAGGGCGGATCCAAAGGGACAGTCCAGCAAGCATGGCGATAACTTGCCGGCAAGGAATCGAACAATTCCGGCCGATTAAGTTGCTTTTCAAAATGCTCAGCCCAACGCTCCAAACGTTTTGACAAATTGTGGATAGGCTGTGCATTCCCGTCACAAATTGTTTCACTAACACCAGGTCTCCTGCTACCCGTTTCTCGTATTAGACGGAATAACTTTCGATGGTTACCAATGGCAGCGGCCGCATCCATCTCTGATGCACAAAGATACCACCAAGATTCGTGGTCTCTCTTCAGACTAGCACGGAGTTTTGCCCGGAGCTCTTTGCGGGTTTCATAGTGTTCGCTTCCTGCCGGAATATGCCGGCTAGCATTGATAAGTACCAGAGACGGCGAAGAGACCCAATGTCCATGTTGGCTATTAGACTTACCACATGAAGATTTGCCAGCTGCTAGTAAGGTCTGGTGAACATGAGACCAGTGATCTTCAATTGTCTCCAGTGAACGTTAACTCAACTCGCATATCAGCGTACTTTGAAAGGCATTCAGAATAGCCAGCTTCGTCAGCTGGCTGGTGTCAATGCGCTCACAGCGTCGTCGTGGGTGTTCGCCAAAACGCATCCGAATGTCAGTACATACAAGTGCATGGTCGGTGTCCACACACGTGCACCAAACCGAGCGACAGTTTTGGATGCAGCCCATCCAGCGGTAAATGATTGTGATGTGATCAATTTGCGTCCATTGCTGACAGGCGCTAAGTCACCCTTCGGCGGGTGCTGTGTCGGAAATTAGTGCTCGCAAGAAATAAGCGAGCATCTTCATACAAATGAAGTAACCGCTCACCGTTATCATTACGGGAGCCTACACCGTGCTGACCGCCCAGATGCAGTTCATCAGTGGACAACTTTCTAATTTGCGCGTTCAGATCCTCTACCAGCACAAGTGTCCGTGCTTCTGCTCTGGCGAAGTAGTTGGGTCAGTTGGCGGTAGGAGACATATTTTACCGACCACCGGCGGTGCTCTGATGCTGTTTGGATCATCAGCGTCTATTCAGATGCCTGCTTCAGTGAACATGGAAGAACGAAACTTGGGGAGTAACTGGCGTCTATGGAGGAGCAAGGGTTTCTGCAACTAAGTAAGTTTGGACAAGCAACCGATGGTGTATCGCTTGGTCGTGTTTCGAAACGCAGCCGAGGAGGACGCCCGCCGTGATAGAGACATTGCAATACAACAAAGGCGAAGATCCCAACAATTTGTAGACAGTCACAGAAAAGTTCAGTGAAGTTTGTGAAGATCAAACTATCGAGACCTACCAGCGCTATCTTGTACTTTCATGTAACAGGGAGACAAACCAATATGTGGACGAGTACATCACTGAGTTAAAGACCTTGACCCTATCCTGTAATTTCTGTAAATGCATTGGCGACAATCTCATACGCGATCGGATGGTGCTAGGAATCAACGATGAAAAAACGACCAAGCCTCTTTTGCGGCAACGCAACGTATCACTCCAGTAGTGCATCGATATCTGCAACTGTGAGTCCTCTACCACCTATCAGTATCAGCAAATGGAACTCGCAACTGATGCAGAAATGTGTACCGTTTCCGGATTTGACCAAGCGAAGGCTACTAACGTGAGACAAGATGTGCTAATTTTGAGCCGCACGACACCCGAGCTCAAGCGAACAGTGTCCCACAGGGGGTCGGAGATGCGATAAATGTGGAAAAAGGAACCACTTTTCTCGTTGCTGCTGATCAAGCAATGTTAGTGTGGTCGTTCGTTACAAGTCATTCGTAGATGCAGAATATGCAATTAACGAGAGTGCCGCAAAAATGTCTACGAAAGTCTCCTGTTCGAAACCAAAGCCATACGACTCCAGTTAGACACGGAAGCTACTGTCAACATTCTACCAAGGAAGCATTGTCTCGGAATGTACATTCGATCCAAACAAGATTGCGGAATGTTTCCAGATTTCATCCGAAGGGCTCAGCTACAATCGAAGTGTTTAACTCAAAGGACGAAGCCTCACATCGACTGGAGTTTGTGATCCCTGAGCAAACACAAGCGACTGCAGATCAGCACATGCCGCAATCCTTCAAAACTCTCCGTCGCTTTTCTGGCATGGTAAATTACAACAGC